TTAGACCCGGTGATCGGGCCGCTTTTTTAAATGGTTTTTTTTTTTTTTTATTAAATCCGGTAATCGTGGAGGGGGGGCATATTTCAATACGATCTATGATTGACAAAAGGAATACCGCTATTTCAAACCGTACCGTTATCTCTTCCACGGTTGCAAATTTAAATTCCTCACGTTCGTCGTAATCGATTTATTATTATGTCGACGACGCTTTTGAATACCGTGCAAAGCAAAACCGTACCACGTTATTCGAAATAATAATTAATAACCATTTGACCAATTTTATACCGTACATTATGTTAGGCGTATATTTCAACGCATTTAAAATTACACATTTGCGGCCCGAACTCCGGGCGCGCTTTAAAAATATACATTTTATTCGCGGCCCAACACGGCCCGGGGTAATGAAATGTACGAAAACATTATTTACAAAATGCGGCCCGGTTCTCGACCGCCCGTAATAGTATACTATCGTCATCGTCATCGTTCCCGGCATAACGGCGGTGTCGGCGAACCGATTCCAGAGACTTATACTGTGTGTACTAGTCGATTCCCGGGTTTCTGTTAGGCACGCGCGAATCGATTCCCATAATTTTATTATCCCCCGATTCTCCCGTCGGAATTAGGAATTGGGCAATTAGGAACTCGTGGAATTAGGACTGAGCAGGGTAGGCACGATTGTACCGGCCGCATAAGCGCTCCCCGTGGACTGGATCTCCGTTTTGTGACTGCGGAGAACTTCAAACGGTAAGACTCGACGTGCCTACCGAGGAAATATGCTGGACGGGATGTTTGGAATTCACTTAGGCGGAAGTGCCGCGATTGAATGGACTTGGACGTCCGACTAATTTTAGTTGCCGATCATTTCTCTGTATCTATTTATTTATTGAAGTATTGTTATGCCGATGCCGTACGCTTATACGTAATATATGATAAATGTACGTGACAATAATATGTTGAATGAGCACCTCAGCCAATTAGCGTTTGCCCAAGAGACACCACGAAGTGGTTGGCTGACAAATCTCTCGAAAATTGTCTTATTTGTAGTTTTTTCATAAATTGAATCGTGTTAGGCGAACTTGACAACCGTTTTTATTTAGAATATTTTAGATAGGTAGTAGGTGTTCATCGTCATACAATTGCATTTCAGTTTACACTAGGTAAACATTTAAAAGCCATTGTTTTTAAAAACTGATATCTGATTATGAGATTATCAGTATACTTACTCATCACTTCTTTCATAAAAACTTGGTATGCTTATATTCTAGAATGTTCAATTATAAAAACTGCTATCTAAAATATAGTATCATTACCAACAAACTTGATAAAACACGTGTTATTTTTTTTTATAATTTTTGAGTATTGCGTAGATCATTATTTTAAAAATTTTTATATTCCCAGGAAAATAATTACATTTTTTTTAAATATTACGTTGATTAATTATGGAAGGTTTTTATGGCGATTAAATTTACGGCATGTCGGTGCTCGCGTGTCCTACTACAAAAGCTTTTAGAAAAAATCACCCATATAAACACTTATTGTTCAGTATTTTTTTCAGTTAATATAAAGTTTAAGTTTTTAGTTTTAGGTCATTAAAACATTTTTTTTTTTTTGGTAACTTTTGATAATGAACAAAATATAATGTAGCTTGATAAATATCTAAAGGTTGTGGAGGACTTCTCACCCCTAATATATTCACATTAAACTTTTGATCTATTTGAAGATAGAATAAAATAAAATTTTAAAAATATATTGTGATTTATGATGTTTTAACAGTTGTAAAAAATACTTGTATATATTGTTCTTTTTCGATCACTGGCTGCAGGTACGTTGGAAATCTTTACATTCAAATCAATGTCCGCATACAAAAAAATGATTATTTATACAAAAAATCGTACACGAAATAATTAGTATGAGAATATAAACTGTTGGAAAGTTAACATTAGTAATCAAAAACTCTTAAAAAGTCAACCACATGGGCGTACGCAAAATTAACTGGAGAAACATTTAAAAAATCCGCCAAAAATAGATTTGCTATACTTGCTTACTATCCGATTTATTTGAAGAAGATCCACTGCAAAGTGGGTCGGTTACCTGAACTCGGCCCACCTAAATGAAAACGGTTTACAACTTGCACAAAAAAAGATTGGCTAACTTATGCAACGAATTTGCTGATATTCGCTAACTATTTGTATTGGTTTGGAGTTGATCATTTAGTGTGGACGGGTCAAGTTCACGAACGTCCATGACCGAGGAGACGTTGTGCGGGCTTTCGAATTCATACGTTTTTCGTTCAAAAAACATTTTTTTTTTTCTCCATTAAAATCCCAATTAAACCGAACATAAAAACAATACAAATAAACCGTATTATTCTGTAAAGATACAGTCGCATAATACAGGTAGGTATCTATACAATACACAGATGTGTAGGGGCCAACGATGTTCAAGTGCGTGACTAATAATATACAGTGTAGTTATTGTCGGCCAATTATATAAATAATTATATTACAAAACGCGAATTTCTCCGCACTGGAGTAACTATATTCCGTAACTGTCCATTTCGTTTTCGTTTTCGTGCGAAAAGTTCACACTCGATTAATATTTTCATTGCATTATCGGGGCTGAATTGAATGCGTATAGCGGTTTTTTGCGACAATGTTCGATTAACTAATGTCATAGTTCCCACAGTTCTCAGATTGTTTACCGAATTAATATTTTCTACATTTGCATACTTCTCTTCAGAGGAATACGAGGTTACTAATTTTTAGCGTTAAAAATAAAAACGTTTTTAAAAATTATTTTATTTCGTCCGTCCGTGTACACACTATCGGATGAATTATAGTAGAAAGTAAGAGGAACCGTCGCTTATTGTTTTGCGATGCGAACAATAACGACGGAAAAACAAATTTCGTTTGGTGTAACGTTTTATTATATTTCGGAAAACGAACACTATGACGTCGTATAAATTATAGGCAGAATTGTACGTCCATTAGAACCTCGCGGGTATAAAAATGTGTGTAAAAAAAAAAAAAAAAAGGAAAAACATATAATAATAACACCGTGAGCAGCAGAGCTCCGTCACTAGAATTGAATTTTCCCCTAAACGACTTGTTGTCCTTACAATATTTCATTTTTTTTTTTTTTTATTTAATTTTTCAACGCCAAAAGGGCTAGGAATACAAAGTAGAGCAAAAATAACGTGCAATATGAAAATAATGTAAAATCAAAAAAAAAAAAAAAAAAAAAAAAAAAAAAATAGAGAATACAATTTTCTTAGTATAAAAGGTAAATAATTGAAAAATAAACCAACATCGGAGAAATTATTAATACGGCGCATAGCGCGAACAAGGGGACTAATAACATTATTATTCTAAATTCAAGTATTTTCCCCGAGTTGTGGAAAAAGTAACTTCATCCAACCTATTTTTTTAAATCAGTCAATAGATCCAACGTTGAAAATTATAGACCAATTTCTTTATTGTCCGCTATACCTAGATTCTTTGAAAAATTACTTACTTCTAAAATTAATTTATTGTGTACGAATATTTCTATTCGTTTTTAACAACATGGATTTAGACGTAAAAGATCTTCTATGACTAATCTTGCTACTCTCCAGTAATATTTAATCGATTCGGTGGTATCTGGATTTCAAGTTGATGTTATATATATACAGATTTACGAATACCATTCGACAGCGTTAACTATTCTTTATGAATCCATAAGTTGCTATAACTCGGGGCGTTTAATCCCTTACCAGCTTGGTTTGGTTTCTATTTTACAGGGCGTACACAATGTGTTGAGATGCATAACTTTATTATTATCTATTCCAATTTCGGTACCTACAAGTGTCCCTAAAGACGGTCATTTATCACTGGTCATTTAATGTTTTTTTATCGAAAACGTCATTCAATGCTTCCCGTTTTGCAAATTTCTGCTTTTCGCAGATGACCTAAAATTATTTAAATCTATTAAAGATATGTCCGATTGCGAATTATTAAAAAATAACTTAAATAACTTTTGTGAGTGGTGTACAATTAATAATCTTACTATTAATATTAGTAAACATAGTATAATCTCATTCCATAGATCCCGAACATCGTATCCCGGTTATTATACGATTGATTTAAAATAGATATGGTTACTAGAGTTCTTCAAAGATGTCAAAAATTGTATGATTTTATACACTTAATTAAATTAAATTTGTGTTCAAAAGATAACCATTGACCGCGTTTACCTCTCCTCTTGCCCTTTTTCCCGATCTACTACCTCTTCCATTTTTCAAGTATAATAAGAAGTACACCATTTCCTTCCGATAACGATGAGAATCCGAACAAAACAAGTTTCATCAAAATTGGTAGTTCATCATAAAGTAGTTTTTAAGATTTTAGTTAACACAGATACTGACGGCAGGAGCGGAGTGCCTTAGAAGTTAAAACCTTCTAAGGCACATTCTCGACAAAAATAATATTTATATGTACACATTTTAACTTTGTTGCTTTGAAAGGCTTGTAAGGTATTTAAAATCCGGTGTTTCCTGTGAAAACATACAATTTAAGGATAAAATGGTCGGGAACAAGGCTGAAAGTTGAAACCCGCGCGAGGCACATTTTTGACACTTGCACAATGCATAAATAACATTGTAACTTTCCGATTTCACTTGGAGGATCCGGGAAGACGACTCGGGGAAAAATGTATTGGCGCGGTAGACGTGGATTTGTACAGGGATAAAATAAAATACGGACAGATGTGAAGTATAGTAATGGTGGAAAAAAACTCTTAGAGAGCGGTGACGCCATTAGAAGAAGATGAAGAATACTACAAGTCGACAAGCGTTTGGACACGTAGTAAACAAATAAATAAATTACGGTTGTCATCGATATAATCCAAACGTTAATAGACCGCGAATCACCACATTTTGTGGATTTAGTAATTCGTTAAATAACACAAACGACATAATATTATTGTACGTTAAAATAAATTATTATTATTTATTAACTATAAATATCGTTCGTTTCGCTTTATAAATTATTAATTTATTACGTTCTATACTTAAACACAATTTACGAATATTCAACTATAGACTTACATTAATTATACAATAAATGCCTATAATACAACTTATAAATAATTGTTTATCTATACAATTTGTTTAAGGTTTATTAATAAAAAAAAAAAAAAAAAAATTAAGAAACACATGTTTTTAGTCAAAATGCTCAATAATAAACACACCGCGGTCGCATAACATAATAACACGGAGTGTAGGTTTAATTATATTGCCGTTTTTGGTAACTGTTTTAAGACTTAACAATAATTTTTTCCAAGCGACTTTCTAAAAGACGTCGACATCGTAGTATATGTCACGAATACGAATGAAATGTTAACTACACAATAATATATATTATAATTTACTATTATACAGGTACAACAATAATACGCAAATCGCGTTATTGTTATTTTTTTCAAAGTCTCTAGAACTACATAATGTTTTCTATATTATATTATGTTCCGTTTTAATCTTTGGTCGATATCTATACGCTAGACAAAATATTATAACTAACCTTAACAATAATCACCTATTTATACACATTGATTAGTACCTATTATGAATTCATTCGTGAACATCACCACCGGTTTTTCGGTGATATTTTTTTTTGTTTATTTTTTAGTTCACGAGTAAAAACGCTCGCGTCGAATACGCGAACGGGCCGCGACGCACTCGGATATTTGTACGGTCATTATTATCGTAAGGAGAAAATGCGTAGAAAAAAGAAAAAAAAAAAAAGCAACATTACGGACAAACGCGCGATTCTTAATAGTCGTTTTATTTTATTTTTCGTCCGAGTCCCCGAGGTTTACACCGACGAGAAATTATCGAAATCGTATAATATTATCACCACGCGTATTTACTCTCGTATACTATTAATTACACTACCCAAAATTCGGTACCGATTCGTGAGATTCGAGATTTTTGTGTGATATGTTCGGAAAAATACATGTATGCATGCCTTTCACTTGATGTCCATTAGGTCATTTAATGTCGATGACCCCGTTATTATTTTTCCGTTTTTTTTTTAAGTGCGGCCCGTCAATTATTTATACGAAACGAAAAAACAAAATGAACGTATATAGTATAGTAATTAATTTTAGGAAATGTCGACGGTTATGTTGTTATTATCGTCACCATCGCTATATTATAGTAAATACAATATTTTTTTATTTTTTTATTTTTTTTTTATTATTTTTTTTATTTTTTTTTTTTTACAATACAATACTGCGGAAATATACATGTTTAAGTTGGGGATTTTCGGGAAACGGTCGCGGGACGAAGACGCACCGTTCTAACCTATTTAATATTACGTTACAGAACCGCCCCCACGGAACTGACAGAATTACAACTCCGCCATAGTAACGTATGGGAAACCGATAATTTACCGGATTTCACAGCCATGCGCGGAAAACGCCGTTCGAATTGTTTTTATCGTCTAAAACGTCGGACCCTTCTCGGCCATTTCGACGCCAACCGCCCCGCCCCGACCCTAAACCTAAACCTAACCTAACCTAATAATTGCGCACGTCAGACGTGTCCGAATGTCCCGTTGCCGGAGTCGAGTATTCGCCGAACTTCGCGGTACATTTGCCGCCGTCGCGTTTCCTCCGGCTCTGTTCGTCGTCCGTCGGCCGCGTGCCGATGTGATTGTGTTCCTGTACCGAGGCGGCCGACTGCGCGGCTACCGACAGGTCCTCCGACTTGCTGAGCAGTCCGTACGTCTTGACCTTCGAGTGGCCCTGTATGATCAGGTACATGGGTCTGCCGGCGACCATCGCGGCGGACTGTTTGTAGTGCGCGAACACCGGGTCCGTAGTGACCGGCGGCGGCGGCGGTTGGGCGCTGGCGGTCGTCGTGCTGGCGGTCGTCGTGCTGGCGGTCGTCGTGCTGGCGGTCGTCGTGCTGGCGGTCGTCGAGCTGGTCGCCGGCGTTGCCGTCGTTGCGGACGGCGTGGACGTCGTCCTGCCGGTCGTGACCGTCGTCCGGTCCACTTCGTTCTCCAGCAGCACCTTGATGACGGAATGCGACAGGATGGGCCGGACGCTGGACATGGGCGGCGGCGCCCTGATGGTCGGCGGCTGTTTGCTTTCGGCCGCCGAATTGCCCGTCTCCTGCAGGTATGACGACGACATGTCCATCGGCTCGACCGTGGTGGTCGCCGCGACCGCGGCCCCGGGCCTCTGGTACGGCGGCGGCGTGAGCATGGGCAGTGGCGTCTTGGGCATCGGGTAATGGTATCCCATCACGGACGACATCTGCACTATTTGAGGCCTTTTGTGCGTGTACTGCACGTAAGGGGCGGCCGCCGCCGGTTCCTTTTTCGAAAAGTCCGTCAGGAAGAACCGGCGGTTGTAGTTGACCGGCACCGACGCCGCCGTGGACGAGAACACCGCGCGGTTGGCCGGTGCGGGCGGCGGAGGCGGTTTCCAATAGTGCACTTTGTCCAGCACCGGCGGCAGGTAATCGAATGTCGGGTCGTTTTTTAACGGATCGCCCCGGCCCAGCGGCGTCCACTCGTCAAAGTCCATCCGCGGAGAAATTATGTTTCGCATCTCCTTCGGCCCGCCACTCGATACTGTAACAAACGAATTATAGGTTTTCGATTATAGGGTATGCTGTGTTACGGATTTAACAATGCGCTAAACGCGTTTTTGAAAATACATTCAAAAAACTAAAAAAAAAAAAAACAATTTTTAACTATCTATAGGTGTTCAAGTGAAATAAATTTCAACTAAGTACACTCGACATCATCATAGGCAAAAATATTTCCGCAGTCACTGGTGACGTCGACCAAACAAAATTGTTGCCCCCGCCCTTGTTATTAGGGTCTGCGCGCGCCTTTTGTGCTTGACATTCAAAAGTTTAAATGCGATAAAAAAATGACTCGAAACGGTAAAATAAAAATCGCAAGACTGAATTTGTCGGAAACTATACTCGGGTTAAAAAGACGCAAAATAAAAAAAAAAAAATAAAAATAAAACAATATTGTGTTATTTTCCTAGTACAATTCTTAATAATTATTCACCCGAACATATTGTTTTAGTACGAAAGCCGTTTCGTCGCAACTATTGCGTTTTCCCGTCCCTCGCTATCCCTTCTGAGTCGCCTACTCCCGGCAGCCGGAGATCCGATGTAAGCGAACACGCAAACGTTGTCTTGGTCGTTCCGAGGGTCTTTTCCAATTTGTTTTTCACGAAACAGTTCGAAACGTTCGCTTTCACGTGCCAAGTGTGTCCGGCTCATTTATTATTTTGCTCTCCATTACCTATGCCGCTACTATATCCCACCGTTGTTTGAACAACTTATATTGAGATCGTCATTGATTGTGCGCCCGTATTCGCTCGCAGTTTTCTTACTGTTTATTGATTTATTTTTGTGACCAATATTTTCCTGTCAAACATATGGTCGAAAACGGAATCACGAGCGTATTTTACACATAACGTTTTCCGAGTGATCTCGATTCGTTCTTTGTAACCGAATCCCCTGTAATTTCTTGCATCACGGCGGTACATTTCGGACAAAACTTTGTTTTCGTTGTTCGATTGACGACAATGTCGAAGAACAATGTCACGTCGAAACATTGTAAAGTCTGTCTGTGCGCGATGCACAGTCAAATGTATCGCGTACGGTGGACCGAAGATTTACACACGGAAACGGATTGAAGGGTTGAATGCACACCCCGAAACAGCGAGTAAATACGTTTTCGTAATAAACGTGTAACGCGAAAAACCTGAAAACGCTACATGGAAAAAATCGAAAACATTTTCGTACACGAAAACCGATCAACGACATTTTCCCACGTGTTTTCACTCCCTGCCTCAGAGCCGGACTTCCGAAATGCGATCCCCGAAGGACGAATCACACGGAGGGATTTTTTTTCGGTATTTTTAAGACGAAAATTCAATTAGTTAACGCGGTTGTTGCGCCTGCGTTGTAAAACGAAATAAATTACCGGCCGATAAATGCGACGGGGAATGAAAACGAGGATGAGCGACGGCGAGACGGGTCTTGATTTTTTTTGTTTTGTTTTTGTTTTTTTTTTTCTAAATTTTGCATTCGTTCAATACCAATACGCACGGGGTCGTGGGTTATTAGTATTCCACGTAGACGGTTACGACAACGCGCGGGTGTAATATCCATGTTTTTTTATTACTGTTACAAAGTCGACGGACTAGTTGTTGTCGGTGTTGTTGTTCGCGGTGTTATTGTCGGATGCTCGGATATTATAGAATTCACTAAACGTTTTACTTTCCAAGACGCGGCGTGGAGTGTATAATAGGCACCTACTAAAAAAAAAACAAAAAAAAAAACCCGAAATAATAAACGCGTTATAATTTATTATTGCGTTCCGGGAAAAACGTAATAACATTATTATTACTATTATTATTGTACGGCAATTATTATTTCGGTCGATTATTAACGAGCCGGCGTCACGAGAACGATGGGACCGATTTTAACAGACCGTTCCACCGCCACCACCACCACCCCCCCTCATCCCACCGTACACTTCGACACGGTTATTATGCGGCGCGTGTACAATAATATTGTGCGCACGAGTTGCGCTATCCGGACCGTATAACATTGCGATACAGCATATACGACCCGACCGGATACGGGTCCAGAGCAAAGATCCCGGGGGAGGGGGAGGGGGCACGATCGTTTTTTTTTTTTTTTTTTACGACGCTAATACCGCCGCAACGTAACACAACCGTGTTGTCACACGCATCTGCGATCGGGACATTACAGTGGTACCGGCGTATCCAAATATCCAAATGTGCGCACGCGGTCTATCTTTTCGTACGCGCGTTTCAAACAGATATTCCCGTTGAAGAACGCGTGTCGCCGGTCCCTCGGTCGGCCATTATTATTTACGCGCTCCGCCGGCCACGTTACGTCACCGTGCGAGCACACGTCGGGTGTAGCCCGCGCACGAACACGCGCGACTTGCAACGTAAACCGGCCGTTCCTCCGGACCGTCGCGTTTCGCCTCATCGGACGCGCGCCCCGTAGAAATAACGAAAACACACCGGAGGACGTGCACCGGGGTTTTTTCACCCCAACATATTCGGCACGCGACACGACGCGCGCGTTGCCGGTTGAAAATATTACGCGGACGTAAGGTGACCGGGTTTCCCGCCGTTTCCGCCGGCTCGCCGCAGCGGATTGGCGACGGCCGAAACCCGTTGAGCGGTCCGACGACGACGACGACGACGTTGCCGCGGCGCAACAGCCTCCCGACTCGGTACAACGCACTCGGTGCCGCCGAAGACCGACTGCGTCTCGGGGGGAGGGAGAGGGGGGGGAGAGGGGGTGGGCCCGCGACCGCTGTAGCCGGGGTAGTATACTGCGCGGGTACGTACGGTCACGTGGCGCAGGATGACGAATGAAATGGAAAACGAATCCGCGGCGCATTGTTACGGCCGTTCGCGAACCGATCGGCTTTTGATATTACGCCGTTGTCGGCCGACACCGTGACTCGGAGAGATCGCGTGGCCGGGCGAACTGCGACCCTAAACAACGCGGCCGCGATCCGTCTGCAGACGCCGAGAACCGCGGACGGCGAATGTGCGCGAACGTCGAAATACCGAGCGCGACAACCGGCGTGCGCTCCGTCGCCTACTCCGTTCCGGATTGTCCGGAGTCGGCCGGCCCGGCCTTCGACCCACGATCATCCGCGTCGTCCCCGTGTCACGCTCATCGTCGTATCGCTTTCAATCGCGCCCGACCGCGTATTTCTCGGTCTTCCTCTTCTCTCTTTTTTTTTCCACCGATTCCCCTCTACCCGCGACATGCCCAATCAAAACTATCAAGACCGAGAATCGGCCGAGTGAAACCATCGCCGCGGTACGTCTCGCGCAGACGATATCGTTTTAATAGCTCGGAACGAAGCGTGCTGTCGACGGATATCGGAATAAAGGCTTACACATTTTAAAAAAAAAAAAAATGAAAACTAACGAAAAAATTAGACAAAGACATCGGTTTGTGTTTTAGGAGAGTGACAATGTTCGACGGTACGAGTCGATATTTTTCAAATCGAATCACAACAACAATCAATTGTTGTAAAAATCACGGTGTTCACAGATTTTTTACTGAACTTTTTTCGTTAACAATGATTGATCGCAGTATTTTTCATTAGGTAGACGGTTTTTTTTTTTTTTACTTTTCATTTTTTAACAACCCGTAACGGCACGCCTGCGTGTTGTACGCAGCGCCCACGGGCGAACTTTACACATGACTAACGTTACGGACTCCGCCCACGTAATCACGCGCGATAAATGGACATGATTCGACGGTCGGCGTCGGGTTTTTTCCCATCGAAATTGCGTAGATGCGTATGTAATTTTTAATTAATCAATATACGTGTATGGTCATTGTAGTATCGGCAGAACAAATTTGACCTACGCGTCCAAAAAATCGGGACGTACGCGTCGCGCATTTAGTATATTAAGTACGTTTTACAAAATTGACGAACGGATGTTCAAATTTTTGGCAAATAATTATCACCGATTCGGTTGTAATTTTAAAATCGTTTATCGTAAACGTATACATTTGAAAAAAAAAAACAAAACCGTATTTAATACAAAGCGAATTAGAATTTTTTTCATTTTCCTATTACCTCTGTGCCCGTTCGTCGACTCTAATATTGTGCTCGAATAGTAAACAGTACATGCGTATAACACTGTTTACGAATTTAAGCAATGGACTTTTCCTCGGTTCAAACATTAATTTTAAGCGATACATTGACGAGTCACAATTCGCAATAAAATTACCATACGGTAATGTCAATAGGGTTTTTCGACTCGACGTTTGCTGCGCGATGCGAAATTTAACATTTGAAATATCAAACTTCCTAATTATTGGAATTTTTTTTTTATAACCGCATCGTCGTTATAATTGTGTTGGCAATCACTATTAGCGTGCATTTCGATTTGCCGCTCAGAATTCAAAATATGTTTCGATAATATTATCATTAAAACGAAAAGCAGATACACCCGTGATAAATGATTATGATTTCGTTTTCTACACGCACGCATTTTATAACAGAGTGTATACCGTATTTTATAATGAACGCCGTTGATATCTATACCCATTATACGTTTGCACCCGAAACGGAAATAATGGTTATCGCAACAGAAATAAGTGTTAGGAATACAAAATTGATTTCATTATGCACATAAACGTTTTGCTTTCACTCCTGTCCGTTTTGTATACTAATGCATGCGGTGAGTCACGTTGGAACCGATTTGATTTTTTTTTTATTTCAAATTAATTATTCGCATCGATACACCTATGCGCCGCATATACAGGTGATCGGATTGACGTGTGACGTTTAAAGTTTTAAAAACCCCCGGTTACCTACCGTACGCGTTAGATAAGGTATAAAACGTAGCCAATATATAGGCATATACATAAAAAAAAATTACACTTGTCCTATAAATCCTTTTTTTTTTTTTTTTTTAATTTTAATTAATTTTATCACTGTACGTGTAGGAATATTATTACATTTTACGATATGACTGTACAGCTTTAGGTATTGGCCGCCTTCTCTAGTGGACGTACGAAAGGTAAATAAGTAAAACGTATAGATAAAATGTGAATTTTCACACTCCCGACAGTCGGGAATATAGTGACAGATATTTGGAACTGTTCTATTTAGCTGACGTAGAAATACGAAACGATTTTGAAATTACACTAATTATTTTACGTTCCTCTCAAGTTACATCGTGTCATTATATCCATGTGTAAAAACCAAAATCTTCGGTCGTTCGCTTAAGCCACTCCGTCGTTCAAAATTATCATAATAGAAGTTATCGAGTTATTTTTCAACTCTGACTTCGAAACCCCCCCCCCCCTTCTTTTTTAAAAATTTGTTGAGGGTTGAATTTCCGAAATTACTACGATAGCGGTTGGTACTCTTTATTGGCTCTTTCTAAAGGTGCAAGAACCATCGCTCCAAGTCAGAACCTCCGGAAGTCGCACGTTTTCAAACGTCAAGCACGTACTAGGGTTTTCCTGGATATTTTACTGTAGGGAAATCTATAGAATATTATTACGTGAAACTATTCTAATAGTTTTTCAAATCTGTTGAACAGCTCGAATGCGGTTCACTATCGATAGTTCGATAGTGGATTTCCATCGTATAACGCAATATTGTAATAATATATCGTACACTCTCGATTTTTCGGTCCGACGAAAAAAAATCTCGGCAATAAACTACTATTCTACGGCAGCGACCGGGACGTGCGTATATACATTTCAAAATACGAAACATGATGATTATAGATAGGCGTATACTTAATAATATTATAAATCCGACCGGACGTTTATGCATGCCCACTTGTGAGGTCTCCCCCGGGGATTTCGTTATATTCGTCTCCGTACCCGACACCCTGCCCCGAGGCCGCAGTCGTCGACGTCCCCTCTCTACTCGAACTTCGTACTTGTACACCTATCGGCGGCACACGCGCAAAATTTAATATAATAACATCCGAAACCCGTAGCAATAATAATAATAATAATAATGATTTACGTCATCCGGAATTCACGGTCCGGACACCGTCGCCACATGCGTCGCGCGGCCGAGGAGCTATCGATTACGCGGCCGCGGAGATCCGCGCCATTATCCGATTTCTATATACGGTTTATACCGTGATGGTTATAACCGCGATGGTTTATAGGTTGATATAAGTTATTGCACGGCGGGCCACACGCACGCGAGCCGTTCGTAATAATAATAATAATAATAGTAACAGCGATATTATTATAACGATCCCCCGGGACAGACACACGTTCCCTAGAGCTCCGTACTCGACCGCGAATCGTTAACGCGGACGACCGGGGGAGGGGCGGGGGGTGTGTGTGTGGTCCTTTACCGCGCGGTCATTTAGTTTTGGAAATAATCGCGATACATACACGGTATGACGTCAATATGAACCTCCCTCAAAAGCCGCCGCCCACTCTCTCTCTTTCTTTCTCTCCCTGGAATAAAAAAAAAAGGTCACAATGTATTATACCGTATCGATCGGTTATAAACTCGGGGTAAACGCACGTGTATAGCGCGGCAAACGTAATAAATTTACAACTCGCGGCGCCTTTCGTCATGGTCATACACTGTCGATATGATGCGATATATACGCGCGTAAAATGTACTGCGGGCAGTGTAAACGCCCCGCGCACATTTGCACAGTCCACCGGCACATGTCTTAAACCCCCCATCGTTTCCTTTACATTATTTTTTTTTTTTTTGCGAAAAATACATTTTCTGTCGGCGTTATACAGTTGGAAAACCTTCATCGTAACACCGTGCGGTCCGCAAAAGATTCCGTCCGGCCAGTATACGAGTACGTACGCGCGTGCAAGTATAAATGTATAAACGAGTACGAATGTACTCGGATGTCCCGGTTGCGCGTTGACGTTTTCTACCATTCGAAACGAGCCGCAGACGCCAAACGCAGAATCGCATCGTCATCGATACGATTGCGGATATTGTAATGGGCGACCGAAGAACCGCCGCAGCCGTACCGGGCGGACGCGAAACGGGTACTGACGCAGGGGCGTAATTTCGGTTTTCCAATAAGGACTTTTCAATCGGGCCATTTTGTGTGTCTTGTTTGTTTCACGGAATTGTCCGGGTTCCGGGTTTGGTATTTCTTTACGCATATTTCAATCGACGACGGGTCAGTTAAATAACATTTTACGCGGGCCAAAAACAAAGTCTGAATCCCTCAAACGACACCGCCGATCTGACAATCGGGGCCGTGCGCGGGATTTTTATAACAGGGAGAGAGAGGGGATTCGAAAAACAAAAAATAAAAAATAAAAAACACTTAGCATCTCAATATTTTCCGGCCACGGTTTTTTATAAAACTTTCGAATGCCCATTTCGATGTTATTGCCAACGGTGTTGTTTGTATATAACTGACGTCTCACACCGAGTCCACAATCATTGTTTATGAATGTGTCCGTTACGGCGTACCATGTACTCGCGTTCTATTAACATTATCGTGTGTGTCCTGTATACATAAATTCTGTTGTCATCTGTCGACAACGAACGTGACGATGACCCGATGCGTATAATAGTGGCGTATCGTTATTGTGCATTGTATTATCCTACAGGAGGGTACAAACAAGATTATAAAATATCAAGTTCAATCGGTCCACAGTGAAAAGCGCAATTCGTATATTCTCGGGAATGGGGGGTAGGGGTGCGGGTTTGAGCCCTCCTCCACCACCACCCCTCCACCCCCCCCCCACCATCGCCGAAAACACTACGACGGCGCCGTTTATTACGTGTGATCGTTTACGTATCAATATCACCGGCACAATACAGACGTCGGATTATAATAAAAATACTAACGCTGGTCGCGTGAGACGACGACGATCTTTCTCCGATCGACGCGATATTATTCACACGCACACGTACCTATTACCTGTACGTGTTTGGCGAGTCTATTAAAGACCCCCGAACGGAAACGTTTATACCGGGCGTTTATAATACGGGCGCTCACTACACCCGTACGGGCCCGAGTGAAAGTTGTCAAAGAAGCCGCGTGACCCGCCGCAGCCGCTGTTATAGCCGGCGCACCATTACACCGCGGTCGTATACAGAGTGTATAACACGAGTATTGGACGTTTTTACCGCGTAACTGCAATGTAAAAACGTCAAATAGTAACAGTCGTCGCGACGTCTTTTGCGACGCGAGTGAATACAGTACACGGGGACGGCTCCAGAGACTTGGGTCGGTTTTTTTGGCGGGGGGGGGGGGGGGAACCGAGAAGTCGTATTTTTCGGAAAACAGTATTGAAAACATATTTTACAAGTTAATTTATACTTCGTTGTACGCAGATTGTATAGGTGGACAACTCTAACTACACACTTGTACTCGTCCGCAATAGTCGATTGTATATAATTTAATTTTGTTCGTACAGTTGTTTTTAACAAAAAAAAAAAAAAAAAAAAAAAAAACGGGCTTGGGGGACACGTCGGAAAAAAAACGTTAACGAACTCGATATTACAATTTTGTTCCGTTACAATGTTATTAAAACTAATGCAAAGACGATCACTATAAGACAATGCGGTGTAACCTTTGAGGCGACTCGGGTGACCATAACGACGAGGAGACTGACACGTCTAGTCGCGAGTCTGACGACGAGTCACGTCAGTCGGCGGATCACTATCAGTATCAAGACGCGGACCGTGTTGCATGTTTGCGCCCGCGCAGTGACATTACAAATTGATAAATTCGACAAAAACGCGAGGAAACGTATGGATCTGTCGTGAGAGACGAGATACAGACTGCAGACTGCTGGGCACTTATCTCGGGAATTCTGTCGACGGGAGGAGACGTAGCAGACAAAAATCGCGAATAAATCGTAAAATCCCCCCGAAAAACGGGCTAAACGATGCGCAGACAATCATTCGGATAATCAAACACAGACAACACACGCGCGCGCGCGAATCATTTCATGAAAATATAAACTCGTGTGTTTCGAACGCTCGTCCGTCAATCGTACGATTTTGTGGAAATTTCCGTTCGAACGGACATACCCGTACGTGTTTCGAAATGAATCAATCTGGAACGACGATCAAGTACAAACAAAATACGAAGCATGCCAAGACATTAAAAAAAAAACAAAAAAAAAAACGTAAGAGATGCGTCTGCATCGCCGATTAACTTAAGGTTCTAACGAAAATCACACGAGGGAAGAATATTACAATATTATAATAATGTGTTGGCGCGATAAAAATTCTGTCGCCTCGAAGCCCGGAAAACGCGGCACGGGAAATTCGAGTGTCGCGGCCGAATTCGTATCGTTTAACGCGAGTCGGCCGTTACCGGGCGCGCGCGCGCGCCAAGTGTCGTTTCGGTTTTATTAAAGCGCGGTCGTGGTTCTTCCGTTCGGTCGCGAACGCGGTCCGCGGGTCGGGAGCGGGCATGCCCGCAGGCATTGCGCACCGGCCGCCGCGGTAATGTTCGGCGATTATCCGAATCGTTCCGCGACGGGGTTTCATAGTTTTTTTTTTTTCTCTCTTTCTCTCCGGAGTCTACCACCGCGCGTCGCTTAAAAGCGGATCCGTTATGACCGATACGGCCGCGGCCGCCGCGTTCGTAACGCGTTTCGCGGCGAACCGCCGTTGTCGCGCGTTCCGGGTCCTGTTACGGTGTGCGCGGGTTTTCGCGTTCGTATTATAAATAGGCCCGCGCACGGTCCGGCCGGGACGATCGCGCGCGCGCGCGTGGTATGGGGGAGGGGGGAATACTGTACAGCGGCGCGCCGTGCCGAAACGGTTCCGCGACGTTACTGAAAACGCCGACGACGGCCGGCGCGCGTTTTCGGTTTCGAGCGGCGACGGACACTTCCGGGCGGCTCGTGCGCTACGACCGTTCCGACGCGCCGACTGCGGACCGTACGTTGTCCAATCCATAAAAGTCAGAAGAAAAAAAAAAAAAAAAACATTAAAAAAAATATTCGACGGTTCATCCGCACGGTATTAACCACGTCGGACAAAGTCCCGTTTGTTTTTTCCCGACGCGGCTTTCGTTCGGCGGCCGCCCAGCGATTATTATTCGCGCGGCTCTTTTCCGCGGTCCGACGACGACACGCGATCAGCCGTGTTTGAATATTTCGAATGGCGATTATTTTTTTTTATTGTTCTTTAACTGTCGCCGTCGCTCCGGTTTAAAAATCGGACGATGTTGCGACCGTTATAAACGCCCGTGGAACGTACAGCGCGAGACGTGTCATCGGTATGGAACACTCGTGTTTATTTATTTTTTTATGCATTGTATTTTCGGCACCGCGCGGCCCGTCGTCGATATTCACAGGCACGTCGTTTTCTTTCGTGTTCTACATGACGCATACTATCGCCGTTCGTATTTTGTAAATCCTTCAAAATCGATTTTAATTTATACCCATGTAATAAATTAGTTTTTCAACTACCCGTCTAATTTTTTCTATTGTTTTTATCGTCTATAGAAAAAAAAAACCGCGACATCTTATTGACTGATAGAGACACGTTCGTAGTATGCGCTTTAGTATGAATTTCACTGTGGCGCATTACTTATTTCACGGACATCGGAATTGAAATTAATAAACTATCATTATTTTTACTTTTATTTGGTTAAATTTGTTTTTTTGCGCAACAATGTTTGTTTATACGTAGCGTTTTCACTACTATATAGTCTATATAGTCTACATTACATCTATACGAATTAAGTGTAGTTAGTATATATTTTCTATGATTTTTATTATTTTATTTTTTTTTTTTAACATGTGTCGTTTTCAATATCTCTCTTATTCTCTGTCAGCGATTTCATTTTTAATATTAATAAAAACTATTTACTAGATACAATAAAAACGACGAATTATTATTTTTAAAACTAATTAAAACAATTAAAGGTAGTTTAGAAATTAAAAAATACGTGGAAACTGACGAGTACGAATACATTTATGATTTCATTGCACAACAGTTGTCAGTAGTAAAAAGTAATAAATAATAATTTCCAAAGGATTCTGGCGATTTTTGGGAGATTTAAAATTTTAGATATTTTATATGTCGATGAAATTTGTTTGGTTTCATAAAAATGCTCGAAAACGTAATACAATGTTTATCATAAGTTGTACGTATGGCATCGTGCAAGTTTCGAAATCTGTAGTCATGATTTTTTTTTTTCGTTAACGTTTCAAGTTCAAATATTGATAAATACCGTAAAAATCACAATATTTCGTGTAATATTTTCCAATTTAAGTGTTTCGGTAAACTTTTTTAGCTTCTATACAAATATTAAAAATTGTGAGTCATAATACAAACACGAACAATTATTCTATAATTTATATTGTAGAATGTTTTAAATATTTGACCACGTCTAAAAATGTCTTATATAAGTTTTTTGTGAAAACTTTAGGTGTTCACGAATATCTATAATCAAATTATAACAAAAAAACAAAATTGAAAATAACTTTTACTTACAATTTACTTTCAGAAAACATGTAACCGTATAGAAAATCAAACGAATGCAACAAAAAAAGTTTCTTGTTTTTTTGTACACTTCATAGTAAAACCATTCCACGCATTCTCAGAGTTTAAAATGTTTGCAGAAAAAAAATTATAAACCATCTCTGCAGTAAACTATTTTCTTCGCTTCGTTCATAATATAAAATAAGTTTAGTATTGGTACCTGCTATAACCCGAATAATTTTAATTAATTAATTAAATTTGTATTAAATAAAGTAAAGAAATTATAATATAATATTGCTTGTTCCAGAATTCCAAATTTTTATAATATGAGTAGTCTGTTTTAAGTGTACTAATTTGAAATTACGGAACAATAATAATCAATTTCACATAAGCAGATACTTCGCACGATGGGTGGGCCACTGTTGTAGCTGGGTAGGTAAAGAGTAAATTTAATGTGCGTAACGAAAAACTATTCTGAGCAGAGTTCGGTTATACATGTTTTGCAAGGTCGTAATATTTACGATTTGAAAACAATACATTTCGTAAATTTCGTAAATGACATCCCTAAAGTTCCACCCCAGTAAAATTTCCAATGAAAACAAAAAAATGGTATACTTGAAAATCAGAACAAAATTTTTAGTAGAAAAGTTGTTTGCAGAAAAAAAAACAAATTAAACATCGTCGTAAAACGAATACATTCCTCGCTCCGCTCAGAATCCAAAAATATAATATTAGTGATTATAAATTTATTAGCAATGTATGTATCGATACAATTAAATACCGTTTCTGATTCTAAGTTAAGTATATCGCGATTAAGACGATGGTGAAATGTCCAAATTTGAATAAATATCATTGATTATAATATAAGCAGAGAGTCCAAAGCATTTGCAGATGTATGAATAATATGTTACAAGTATAAGTAATTAGTTTAAGTGTCGATGTTCGTCGATGCATTTTCCGTTCGGTGATTCAGTTTTATTACGTACCTAGTGGTCATTGATCTTTAATACTTTCGTACGTATACGATCATCAATAATAATTATGTACACAGTTTGTTTTTTTTTTTTTTTTTGTAACTGTTAGCGCAATTAGGACGGTTTAAAAAACTAATATTAAAATCATTTCACTTTTATTTGATTATTATGCTAATAAGTGGGCAATCACTATAGTAACACTAGATACTTAAAATATTATAAGTACTAGGTAGTGTTTGAATATCGTTATGATAATTATTTCTACTATTCACACGAAACAATTTAGTGTTTTTACTTTGTTAAAAATGAAGTACACCTAACACACAATATGCATTTTAGTTATTATTGGCGAATATTATTTTAACGATTTATGATTTACTCAGATAACAAAAGGATATCGAATCGTAAACTGAAATTTTGTGTACAACTAATATGTAAAAGGATTAAAACACGTGTATGGTTTTTTTTTTTCAAAAATATCAATCTTAAAATTATAACGAACTTTTTTAAAAATTATTTCAAATAAATTGCTTATAGAATTTAAATATACAATCTACAAAGTGAAAAAAAAAACTAGGTTTTTTTTATTTAATGATGAGGTTGAGTGGAAAAATATAATACGATATTGAATTCGATAAACTTTTACATTTAATATACATCGTGAATTGAAATTCAGGCCATTGTGTTTGTTTTATTTTTTTTTAGTGAAATCAACTTTGAAAATCGCAATAAAATTATTGATAATGGCCAAGTCGGCGAACACGAAGGTCCATTAAAAAATTTAATTTTTTCTGCGGTTAGACGTTTTTTTCAACCGCAAATTCATATACGCATATATAGTTTATTGTAATAATACGCGTTTTCAATAAGATACCTAAAGAGTCTGCAACAATAGGTACCTCCTACTGGTTCGTGATAAATTTCTGAAAACATTTTGTAATTTCAAAGTAAGACGAAGAAAAACGTATTACTGTGCATTTTCACTATAACGGATATTTTCAATTATAGAAATGTGAATAAATCACAAATCACAACACAAAATAAACAATGTGTGCGTGTTGTGTATCCGTAGTCCCGTGTACCCGTGCCTGTAAGCAAAATACGACGCGAACATAATTCCCGTATAGGTTCGAACTCCGATCGAAACGTATAATAATACTCGTATACGGGCGAATATATTTTAATGAATAAATAACAAATAGTTTGTTTGAAATTTTTAAAAATATCGAAAAACTAATTATAGTAATACTGTGACCCGAACATTGAATACTACTTTCCCCGCGGATCCTGAAGACGTTTGTCAAATGTTTTACGAACAGTTTTAGATGTATGATGGTATAGGAATATAGGAATTAATATTTTAATTTAGAAAAAATAGTCGGGGCCGCGTTAAATTTAAATAAAAATTATTATACTAGTTGACATTACGATGACTGCAATCGGTGAACCGGTTTTAATAGAAATAAGTAGCGCGTAATGTATAGGTAACATAAAACGTCTTCGATAAATTCATAATGTTTTACGATATTTCTAATCGTCTTTTCCGACCGTTTATTTGTCGTATCCACGTACTTAAACTAAACATCCGAATCTGGCCGTCGCTTGTGCTATTTGCTGTAGCCCGCACGTAGGCGAGCATATCTTTTCAGAAACTCGTATTCGCCGTTGCGTTATTTCGATAAAATTGATTTCACAAATTCGTCCTTACAGCGAATAATTTACAATCGCACTCAAATTAACCCCCCCCCCCCGTATTAAAATATAACTCGAATGGATTTTATTCAATTTTCGTTCGTAATCGGATTATGTAGATGGTTACAAGCGACCTAACCGCGGGTAGTTTTCATATGTCTATTTGTTCAACGTGCACTGTGATATAGGTAAGTACTTACCGGTGTCTTTTTGAGTCCACGATCGGCCCTCTACCGTAGTCAGTTCCGCGTTAACGATAATTTCAAACAAGAATATATAAATCGCGAATACTGAACACCGTGATTTCGTCATTGTGGATGTGAAATTCGGCTGGTACGCTGCCGTTGACGAATTATACGATATCGATATGATACCGATATCTGCAATATTATTACTCGGGGGGAAAAAAAATGCGATTTATCGAATTATAACGAAAATTAAAAAAAAAAAAATCGCAATTTCGATCGTACTAGTTTGTTATCGTTATTATTATTATTTTTTAACAATCCGTACTACGGTGGACCCATACGCCATGTCATGATCATGATGAGATTCGTCGGCATTTTCGATTTTTTCGCGGTCCCGCACATACACGCATACACACACATACTCTACTGGGCCACTTATTACCGAGCAATGATGAATATCAGCTACCACTGCCCCGGTACGGTGTACGCCACACTGGCACGATATAATAATATTTACAGTCGTCGGCGGGGAGTTAAGCCCCGAGTCATATCTACCTACAATATAATACACGGGGAACTTGTGTGGGGATTATTCGTTTTTCTGTATAATATATCGACGCGTATACCGAGTATTGTGTATAGGAGGGGAAAGTCACCGGATTTGTGAATGAAATTGAACGTTTGACCGGTTACAGGAGGACTCTCTTTCTCCTCCTGCGCACATTTCCTGTAGTAAGGCATATACTATGGGTATAGTATAGTATAGTAGTGTCTGCAGCAGCAACAGCAGCAGCAGTCTGTCCGTCTGCGTGTCTGTCCGTTTATCACTCTCTCTCTCTCTCTTTCTCTCTCTCTCTCTCACACACACACGCACACGCGCACACACACACACACACACACACTCTCTCGGTCCGTCTTTTTCTGCAGTATCTCTCTCCTCTTCATATTTTTACTCGACTGGTTTTGCAATACATACACACATACATACATGCGGTTTTTTTTTCATATAGAAATTGAAATCGTTACCGGTGGATACGATATTATATAGATAGGTATACTCATTCCTCTCATCTATACGATAATACGCATCACGAGTATAATATGTGCGTGTATATAATAATATTAATCTCAAGAAGCCGGCTTATGCGTTATGACCTCTGCCCGCGATACTAAAAATGGATATTGTTGGAAAGCATGGAACGTTTTTTTTTTTTCAATTTTATTTCGTTCGAGATAATTCGTAAATTCGTAACACATATGTTCTGTAGTAAATTATATCATTATCGTGATATATTCATTCGGTTTTTGTTTAAAATGTCTCTGAAAAATAAATACAAAATTCAAAATTCACTTTACAAATAGTTTTTGTCATTCAAATATATTATTATGACGATATACGATATGCAATTTATTTTAGAAACATAATAGAATAAAATTGACCCATATCGATCTCGTATATTTTATCCAAATAACATAAAATCGCGTAGAAACGATACATAAATTATCGATATTAATTTATGTCGTGTAATCCATACATATTTCAGATTCTACGTGAAGTGAAAACTGTATTGGTTTTACTACGATCGATTTTTGTGTATCTGCAAATAACTATTCAACCGGAAATCTCGCTTCAATCAAAAATTACAAAGGAACTTTCATGTAAAATGTTTGATCTTGTTTTTACATTGTCAAGGTAATTTTTTGATCTTATTATCGTTATTTTTCTTAAAAATTGAATATTGCCATCAGATTGCTGTTATTTGCTTATTTGCTAACTGTCTGCTAACTACTGGCGTTTGTTTGAAGACGATCGGAAAAAGTGGGCGGGTTACCTGAACTTTGCCCCTCTAAATGAAAACAGTTTTTTTAACTTCTACAAAAATGATTTTGCTAACTCCTACAATAAATTTGTTAATATTTGCTAACTATTTGTTAAACTTTTTGTATTGGTTTGGAGTTGATTAAACCTATAAAATAGGTGAGTCAAGTTCATGGACATAAAAATGCGACTAATAATGCTCTAATCAGAATCGTTTCTCTTTAGTAATGTTTTATCGTTGCGTACATATATAAATCAAATTACTCTATACATTCTAACAGTGTTAGGAGCAGTGTGGCGAACCCAACAGAAGCAACAAGCCTTTCTACTATTCGACTCTAGTTATTATTATTCATAATAATTATATAACACAACAACGAGAGTACTTTGACAACGTAAAATATCATAGCAAAAATATGCGTTTTAAGTCTACGATGGATCATCGTAGACCATGTTTATAAAGCTGTCAATAAAGTAAAGATGTTATTGAACGGAAATAATGATATGTCAAATGAGTGGTTGAGTGTTTTTCACAGCTGTATTTTAATGATGCGTAACCTGAAAAAAACCTGCAGCTACTTCGTGTCATAAATTTGTATGTTGCACGCCAATAAATTTATAAGAATTGACATTTTTTATTTTTTGTACATCTGTAGCCTACTTTTAAAAGTTTTGATTCTGAAAATTACCGTTATCCGAGAATATTCATATTATTTATAGATATTAAGCATATAATAATATAATATAATATAATAATTCAACCTAATATTTCAGATTCTGAGTATACCGAAGAAGCCGTTAGTTTTTACTAAATTGTGTGGTTTATTTTCGGTTTGTGAAAATACTCTGATATTTTCATTTGATACTTCGAAAAATGTATGTTTCATGACTATAGGTACTGCATTTAAAAATATTTCAAAATTTCTCAGTTATTTTTCCAGAAAATTGCTTTTTATGTTGTTTTTTTTAAACACTTTTTCATTGGATAAAATACTCCGTAATACTATAAAAGATGTAAAATTTCCGACCAGTGGTATTGTATACGAAACATAATTTATCGACATTTTCAACAGTTCCCACTATAGGTACATTTTTGGGGGGTTTTTTTCGATTTTGTTATTTCTTGGTTATTATAGTTACAAAGGAAAAACATACGCTAAATTACTTATATATCAGTGGCCTGCCCGTGATGCGAAGTGTGTCCGGTTTTTTTAATATTAAAACCGAAGGGAATAAAAATATAGCCACATGTAATCCACGAGTTCTTTTCAACAACAGCTTTTAGAGGCAATATGTATATTTTACTTTAAGTGCATATTATATTTTCGATAGACTGTCAAATGACCATACAAATAACTTGTTTTGTAAAACTGAGCATTGACAGGTAATTTAAAATTTGAAGTTTTGTCAATGCCCGTATACATGCATGTACATTGAACAAAAAATACATAAATAATACGTACACATGGCCGTCTATCGGTGGAGTGTGGTATTATAACAGTGTTTCCGTGAGTGTTGCAGCCATTAAAATTCATAAAACCCATACAATCGTACAGGAAGAAAAATATACGCCGAAACAATCGCCTAAGATTTTATAAACACGTTTGGGAATTATGAAGAAATAATAATTTCCCGAATACCGTGTTCGAAACATTCGCTATTGACTTCTAAAATTCGACTGCCTACAATTCATACGTACCGAATGTGCCTGCAAAATATCGACACCGTTAAACACGATGTTTTTATTGTTACGAAACGAATTCGAACGTCGTGCTTGGCATGTTTTCCTGTGTAGTGAAAAACTGCGCGCACGTTCATGAACCCCGGACAATAATAATATAATCAATAAAAGAAAAACTAGTGCATCGAAAATATTCTTTCGTTTCAAGGATGCTTTTCGCGCGGCTATAATCGATTTACAGGTGTATTTTTCGAAACAGTGAGCAAGTCCCATTAGTTCGGCAAATCACGCGAAAAAATAATAATAACAACCGGATAAGTGTACGCTAGCTGTGTACAGGACGTGTAGTATACGAAACCGAAACAAGCGCGCGTTCGGAATTGATCGTTTGATCGCGTGACCCCGATGACCGGATAATCGTAGAGCACTGAAATGTGTCCGTAGAAAAAAAAAAAAAAAAAAAATTATAAACGATTATGACTACTGACAGTATTTTTTTGAGCGAGAAAGCATAACGGCCAAAAATGTATCGGTAAACGAAACTGAACGTTGGCGCTGAGAGAAAGTGATGGGCGCGTGCACGGGGGGCTCGGCGGACGGCGGCGGCGTCCCTACGGCTCTCGATAGTCTCGACAACCGCAACGCCGACTGCAGCAGATGATCCACATGCTAATTGTAACACGATTTAGGTGGGGGGGGGAAATAAAATACATTTGGACTTGCCGGTGTAACAGAACTTGTCAAACTGCATTTCTGAATATAATACGACCGAAATTTTAGCAATTTCCCTCGCGGGCTCTATATAATATTATTATGGGTACGCCGTATACATACGAAATGTATATATATATATATATAATAAGTTTATTAGACTAATAAATATTCCTAGACACTCCTAAATTTACGCTAAACTGCAATTAACCGCGGTAGTTATTTACGATGAAAGTTTAACCGAAATTTAACACACTGTGAGAACCGAGAAGCAAAAATTACGCGCATAGGTTAGGTTAGGTTAGGCATAGGTATACACACAGCCGTATAGGTACTGAATATTTATTTTCTTTTATGTATATATATATCGCATACGCTTGCGTGTCATTTATGTATTATGTTTTATTGCCGCATTGTTTTTGGTTTTTTTTTTTTTATGCTTGTCCTCTAACCTTACCCAAGACGTTATTTTCCTTTGTCCTTTCCGACACTGTCCGGGCTACGTCTGACCCGCACAAGTATAAATATCGAATAAATAACGCTTTCGACAGGGACGTATAGGTACAAAAAGTCACTATTGTATATTATAATCTCTTTTGGTGCCGATTTTGTTATAACGGGACGGTATGTGAAGCATATTTTCGCGAACTCGATTCCGAATTGCGATCATATACACGATACAAAAAACAAAAAACAAAACAATGGCAATGTGTGCGAACTTTCATCGGGTTTAATATATTTACGAAAAATCAACGCGCATCAATATATATAAGAATACGCGTCAACTGGTTTGTGTTTACCGTCGCATTAACATGATTTTGTTATTTCTCGTTTTATTATATAAGACGCACGGTAAATAGTTAACAAACAAAATATATATGTTACCAAGTACGATATTTCATCGGGCAAAAAAATTTGCGCACAAATACCACAGTAAACACAGGCACCTGCACAATTTACATAATACGCGTACGGGTAGATTAAGTTAGGTACTAGCCGGAAATGTTAACCTCTTGAATATGTGTATAGATGTGTATGTTATTACACGTATTACTCATTTTGTACGCGTACAAAAGAAAAAACGAAAGTAGAGTTTTCAAAAGAGACTTTTTCGGTATATAGTTTAAACAAAACGTTATTATGCGCGGCAGAAAGAGAAAAGGTATTTATTATTTTTTTTTTTTTTTTTTTAAATTTGAACACATATTTAATATCGCATCTATGCACATTACACATAATATGTATAATATTATGTCTACGTATACCGTTTGAC